GTTGAAATCCTTAGATCATAACCTGGATGAGAAAAATGATTTTATAGTGGTTTGCCATTAAAAAATTTTTTTTTTGTATAACTCAAAAACAAAAGGAAATTTCAAAAAATTTTATTCTTGTTAAATCATCACATTTTTATAGTACTTTATCACTCATCAATTAATTTTTTCAAAAAATAAATAGTTTAAGGAAAAAACGTTTGGTTCCATACTTTTTATTCACCTGGTATATGTATCCTCAGACCTTGATACATATTTAAATAAAATGCTGTAAGTTATAACTCTAATTAGGTGATCTAAGACTTTGACCATCATCGTAAAAAGAGAGATATTTTGAAACTTTCATTTATTAGTTTGTCATAGGTATAGCATAATTGATTTCAACCAGTATCATTAGATATTTAGCAAAATGAAGCGTGACATAATAAAAAAATATACTCGTAACTCTTACAACTAATATTTGCGTAATCATAATTTATAAAGTCYTTGTTTTTCACTAGAAATTAGTAGAAACTCAAATGTTAATTTTTCAAAATTTTAAAATAAATAATAACAATAATAATAATGATATAGTTGTTTAAAAGTAAGTTCTATATATTAAATAATTTAGAAACTGCATTTTAAATAACACATTTTAGTACAATAAAWTTTTTTTTGTATACGCTCCTGAAAACAGCTGTTATAGGGACTCATTGAGTCTTTTCCGGAGTTTTTGCGGACTAAAAAATAAAATAGGTTAAAACAGGTAAACGAATTTTTTTAATTAGTAAGAGGTGAATTAGTGTTTTGGGAGCTTTCACAAAAAAATCTTGTATGCACCACGTACGCAAAAGGTTTTAAGTGACTCTTCTCATTAAAGACTCGGCTCCTACGTCGCCTCGTCATTAATTACGATTCGTCCCTAAAACCCTATTTTGGGTACTTGATACATAAATAGCTATTAGAATTTTCAAGATATTTTTTCTAGATATTTTAAATTTGAGATAGAAGAAAACGTGGATTTTCCATTTTATACTGACACGCAATGTTTCCCGAGGGAAATTATGAAAGATTTCCTGTATAATACAGCGTATTAGCATGAACATTAATTTATAGATTCGTAAATAGAATAGAAAAACTTAAAAAACAAGAAATAAATATGTACTTTAACAGAAATGTATTCCTAATGTAATTTTTTCTGTGCATTTAGAAAAAGGAGTGCATCCGGACATAAAAATTGAGTAAGCAATCTTATTATAAAACTTATAAGCGCTTTGCAAGACTATAAAAATTATTTTCGCAAAAAATATTCTTTATTTATTGTCAGCTCAATCCTTTGTAAATGCTATAACAACAAAAAAATCAGTGAAAATATTTATTCGATTCTAGATTCTAGCTCTTGGATCTACGCATTCCCATAGAAGAGAGTAAATATATGGATATTTTCWTTTTTGTGATCTGTGATTATACTGCTATTACATAGGCAACCAAATATACACCGTAAAATATGTAGTGTGATTTTCTTGCTGTTTTCCCGAAATATTAAGTTTTTTTCTAATTTTTAGCAACAATTCCCAAATGTGGCGGCTGTCATGAGCTGATCCTCGACCGTTTTATCCTAAAAGTAGCCGAGAGGACGTGGCACGCAAAATGTCTTCAATGCAGCGACTGTCGTATCCAGCTGACTGATAAATGTTTCGCCCGCAACGGTCAACTCTTCTGCAAAGAAGACTTTTTCAAGTAAGTGTCCCATCCTTGGMGCCACGGCGCAATTATCTTGCCGGTTGTGYGGTGCTTCCGAAGYCTTCTCCGAACGCAATTTACCGTCGGAGAAGCCTTTGATCACATCCTGCGCGCTTAGACTAGTCCAGATGTAACAATGCGGCTTGTGTATGTATGGCGTGCTGTGGGTGCAGACGGTTCGGCACGAAGTGTGCTGGATGCGACCTGGGGATCCCTCCGACGCAGGTCGTCCGAAGGGCGCAAGATAACGTCTACCACCTGCAATGCTTCTCGTGCGTCATGTGTGCCAGACAACTCAACACCGGAGACGAATTCTACCTCATGGAGGACCGCAAGTTGGTTTGCAAACCCGACTACGAGGCCGCCAAGTCTAAAGGTTGGTACCCAATTAAAAAAATAATAAACCAACTAAGTTTGGTGCTGTTTAGCCGCCGAATGCCTCGACGGAGACCAGCCCAACAAAAGGCCGAGAACTACGATAACTGCAAAACAACTAGAAACGCTCAAAAATGCCTACAACAATAGTCCAAAGCCTGCAAGACATGTTAGGGAACAACTCAGCCAAGACACAGGACTTGACATGCGGGTTGTTCAAGTGTGGTTCCAGAATAGGTTGGTGCTGAACCTTAGTCTTACACATTTTCACACTTCTTTTTACTAATCTCATTAAGAGTTTTTTAACGAAAATCCCCAATAATAAAAAGATTTTAAAAACATTCATGTCATACCAGCTTTTACTTCAAATTCACAGACGAGCGAAAGAAAAACGGTTGAAAAAGGACGCGGGAAGGACACGTTGGAGTCAGTATTTCCGGTCCATGAAGGGAGGATCGTCCCCCCGACATGACAAACTCCTCGACAAAGACGAAATGAAAGTTGATCTTGATAGTTTCAGCCATCATGGTTTGKTTAAGAACCCCATGTGTTTGCAAATAAATTAAAATTCTGTTTTGTAGATCTGAGCGACGACAGCTACGGCACCGTGGTCAACATGAGCATGGACCAAGACGGGTCGTCGCCCCACAGTGGTATCGGTCGGCCTTCTTTCTTMCACGGTGCCACCTCCCCGTCCTACCTGCCGGGCCATACGCCGCCCCACGGTCACGAACCGTTCCCATACCCCGACCAATTGGCGGTGTATGCCAGTCTGGGACAGGGTCCACCCCCCGGTATGTCCTTGCCGCACAACATGCCTCCCGGGGCCGACACCGACATCAGCAACGATAGCAGTCCTCGGGGATACCCCGATTTCCCTCCGAGTCCCGATTCGTGGCTGGGGGAGCCGTCCAGTGCCCACTACTGACCCAGCAAATCACAAATAACGAACACTGTCACGATATTTATATGCGATTTAAAGTTTCTATTCATGTGTCATTATGCGTGTATACAGAGTRGCACGGTGCACAACAATGACGGGCCGAAGTGTACAGCTCTTGTTCTAGTCGAGATTAAAGAGATATTGTACCATAAGTGTCAGGTTTAATATTCTAGTCGTCAATTTATTTTATATATTTTATTGTTTCATTATTATATTATTTAGTAAATTATTATTAAATTTATGGTTGTTTTTTTACAATCGTTGGACCCAAAAAATATTGCGCAACGAGGGATGTAATTATTGCGATCAAAGCTTAAACCAACACACATTAATAAAATGACTAATTTAAAAATATGTATATCGTATTCAATTAATTTCATATTTAATGATAATCTAGCAACCTACCTGACTTAAGAAATATACACTCAATTTTAAAACTTGCAATCGGCAATCAACTGAAAAAATTATTAATAGACACGCAAAACCGTTTTGGTGGTTCCTAGGGGGAATTAAAATGACCACACCTCCACCCACCCTTGAATAATTGGAAAAATGGCTTTACCAAATAGGCTGTTGTATGACATTTTTGAAAAGCGCTTGTTATAGGCTTTCCAACGATGTATCGCAAGTAGAGTCGGCCCATTTAACATTTTCAACTTAAGGTGGCTGTGGCTTGAAGAGTGGGTAGAGGAGCGTCACTTACCATGCCATTTTGATTCCCCCTGAAAACCACCGAAACGGTTTTGAGTGATTTTTTTTTAGTTCTAGAGATATTGCCGATTGCAAGTTTTAAAATTGACACCCTGTATGATTATGTATTCGTTATAAAATTTGAGCATTTTAGTTCTAGAGATATTGCCCATTGCAAGTTTTAAAATTGACACCCTGTATGATTATGTATTCGTTATAAAATTTGAGCATTTTACTCATTTCATGTAATCTAATGAAATTAATTTTTCCTGAAAAACAAAATAATTCAGCTTGGCTATAGAAATTGTTTTCTCTTCCTTGGTATAAATAATTACCTATTATCAATATTTTAAAATTATTACAAAATGAAAGTTATTTTAAAGAAGTAATATGTCCTTTAGGTTGAACGTAGCTTAAAATTAAAATATTCAGAAAAATATTTCAACAAATCTTTTTATGTGGTATGGCGCCTACGTCGTCAACATTTCAACCCATAACAGAGCGTTCATCATCCAACAATAAATGTTAAAAGAATCATTTGTTTTAATTGTGTAAATTGAATGTAAAGAGCCTTCATCTCAATACTTCACATACGAATAAATAATAATTGATCGATCTGCGAATCTGGACTGGAGTTCTCTGACCAATCATTTCAGAAACCAGTTCAGTTTCAAATACTGCGTCGCATTATCAAAACATTATTTATTAAAATTGTGACAACAAAAATAAAAAATAAAAAATTACCCTCGAGATCAATGTACTGCAAACAATGAAATGACGTTATCTCACATTCATGTACTAACACGACTTTGGTGATTTTTTTGTTTTGAGTGACTGAACAACAATAGTGCAAAGATCTAACAAATACATGCAAGGTAAGATGAAAAATAATTTGCATGAATATCGGAAGATCTGCAATAAATCGTTCTAAGTTGCAACTTCCTCCACTTGTTTGTGTATAGTACTGGTAATTAATATAGCAAATGTGCGCCTGGCAATAAATGAAATATAAATAGATTTTGGTCGTTCTTAACCCACTTTGATGACATTTCGATTACATCTCTGTGTAGGTTGATTGACTCCAAACGACATCATGTCCCATCGTTTCTTGGTACTATTATTAATTCTCGCCACCATTGGTGGTACTTTAGGGTACCAAAACTGGCGTCGGGATAGACGTACGATTTAAATCTTTACCAGTTAATAAACTAAAATTAAATCTTAAATTTTAGAACCGAAAATAATGGGTGATAAAATATCCCTCAAAGCAATTATGCCAAATCAAAGAAAAGTGCAAAAAAGAATTGTTCAATACCACAATTATTTTCGCACAAAAGTAATACCACGGCCTGCTAATATGTTACGAATGGTAATATCTTTTCAGCACCTTTTTTGTTTTGATTGTACTGTTCCAGAGATGGCACAAAGGTGCAGCCCGAGCTGCCCGAAAATGGTCTCGCAAATGTTTTGTTTTGACCCATGATAACGTAACTGGGCGATATATTGAGAACTATGGTGCTTGTGGTCAAAACATATTTATCGCTTCCGACAAAGTGCCATGGTACTGATGGTACTACATAATTTTACTAAAATTATTACCAAAATCTGATTTAAGGCTATTTGCTATCAAAACCTGGTATTTGGAAAAAGATAACTTTACTTTTGGTAGTCGCAAAAATGACCTGATGATTGTGGGCCACTACACCCAAATGGTATGGGCGAGCACCCACGAAGTAGGCTGCGGCTTATCTAAATGTTATTTAAAGTCCAGCGRAAAAACCTTTTACAACTACATCTGCAACTATTGCCCCATGTAAGTTACCCAGACACAAATCTTGCATAATTGCCGGTCGTTGAACCCATTTTCAATCAAATGATTGGAACAAAGGGGCAATTACACGCTCTACTAGTACAAGTAAAAGTTCCCGTGTTCCAGAGGAAATCTTCCAGGCCAACTGGGACGTCCTTATCGAATAGGAAGACCCTGTGGTCTATGTCGGACAAACTGTTTTGCCAGAAAACTTTGCACCAATTCCTGTCATGTAGCCGACTTGTGGGCCAATTGCAAGGAACTATACAAGRTCTGGCCAGAATGGCTTTGTAACACARCCTCAGCCAAAGGCCAAGACCGAAAAAAGCACTGTAGAGCTACTTGTACTTGTAAAAACAAAATACACGACTAGTAAATAATTAATTGAAAATCCTTGTTTCTGAAATCGTAAAAGAGAAAGTGTGAAAACATTGTTATTCACGGTAAGTTAGTACAAATTTGATGATTCATTAAAATTTGAAAAAGAARAGATGAGTARGTATACATTAGAAAAGATGCARTGCACCTAATCAAAAATAAGTAATATTTTATGGTGTTGAGCATGAATTTGAGAGCCGTTATAACGGATGCACCTATTTAATYYRRAATTGACGAAAGAACATGTGGACCAAAAAGATTAGCGGAACAAAGTGTTATTATCAATTTAAAGATTGCAACAATTAATTCTAAACGGTTCAATAGATATATTTTCTCTCCACGCTTGTGTTGCAAAGCGTGATAGTCTTGCCACACTCCTCAAATTAAATTGCCACTAATCAAATTAAAATTGTAAAAATAATTTTCAAGGTAAGTGCACCAAAATAAAAACAATACTTTTCTTAATCTTCACTTCCTGTGAAACTGAAAGTATAATTAGACTGTAAATGACACGTCTAATAAAATCCCTTATCTTACAAARACTTTAAAAGAGAAAGAAAGAAAAGCACTCGACGGTAAGTGGTCCATCACGAAAACTCCAAAGAATAGAAAAATATTTTTCTAATTAGCAATCTCTTGTTGCCCAACAAATTGTTAATTCGTCGTCCATTCACACAACAACACCTGTCTTTCCTATTTTAAGCATAGTTCCATCCAATATCTTACCAAACGTGACGAGAATAAAGAATTAGCGAAGCGTGTTGTCATGCTGTCTTGAGTCGCACTCCAGAATCACAATTACTGCCTCTTTTTCATACACAGACCCTTACTGTACTCTCAAACACACACGAACCACGCAGGTGACATGTTGTGTTCTTCGAAAAAACCCTTCCGATTGTGCGACTCCGTTACAAAGTTTCCCCAAATCAAAGAGAATGATAGCAATATTGAATTGGACTCGTTGGAAAATTGTGAAAAAGTAAGTAATAAAAATTTTAGTAAACAAAATAACTTGACGTCTCCAGGACGATGATGATGACATCGAAGATAAAGATCAAACGAAACAGCTCAACTTGAACGGATTATGCAAAAATAAACAAGAGCTGAGTGAGTGTTATGTCGACGAAATTGTTTTGCCAGGCGAGAGCTTGCAATCGCTGTCGGATTTGAAAGTGTTGAGTTTGAGATCTAATGGCATCCAGAATTTTCCAAACAGTATCCTCCAGTTGGTCACTTTAGTCGCTTTGGACTTATCTGATAACAGTCTTTTAACTCTACCCCCGGAGATAAGTCTTCTAGAAAAGTAAGTAAAACCAAGGTGTTGCGAAAKAGCCTCTTCTCTCCTGCTAGAAACTGCGATGAATGAACTTCCGTTGTTTCTTTCACGGTTCCTCGCTCGTCCGAGACGCATATGATTAAAATAACATAGACCCGATGGTCAATTCGTGCGTGTCAGTAGCGCGTGCTTCTTCTCTTCGATTTTTCTTCAAATAAATCCTAAAGTTGGGTTACGTGAACGGTGGCCTTGAAGTGTCCTGCATGTGCATGTGCAAAGTTCCGATCCACAACTTTCGTTTTTTGTAGCCTCAACGAACTAGTCTTGGATCAGAACTTGCTCAGTGTTTTACCGACAACTTTATGGGACCTCAAACACCTTCAAACGCTCAAAGTGGCTAGGAATCGGCTTGCTTTGCCGCCTGACAAGCCCGAAGACATGAGGGCTCTCATCCTTGCTGTAAGTACCTACCACAACTCATTCAAACCTTTTACAAAAAAAATGTGACAGGAATCAGAGTTAAAGCCGGAAAATCGCCACAAAAACGGCTTGACTACCTTAAATTTACGTTCAAATCGGCTTAAAGGCAACATAATTTTGGGCAATTACGGGGTAAGTGAGGCAATAACATTAGCATTACCCAACCCAGTTCGCGTTAATATTACAGAACTTAACGGAACTTGACGTAAGCGAGAACAGCATTGAAAATTTGGATTTGAGTGCCGTGGAACAATTACAGATTTTGCAATGTTCGAGAAATTCTATAACACACTTAACGCTACACGGAAAAAACTTAACGTCCATAATAGCAGGAAACAACAGTAAGTGTCACAAACATTACCACACTTGCACCTATTTAAATTTTTCAGGACTTAAAAATTTAATCCTCGCACATCCCCCAACAAATTTGAAACACCTAGATGTATGTTACAACGAACTTGAAACTCTCCCGGACTGGTTATCTGGTTGTAGTGAACTCCGGTCTTTATTTGCAAGTAACAATCTTTTAACATCACTTCCAGATCATTTGTTTTGTAACGAAATGCCGTTTTTGCATACTTTACAAATTGCTTATAACCAACTCCAGTACCTGCCAACAATACAAAGAAGACTTCCAATACAAGAACTTTTCCTTCAAAACAACAGTCTGTCCTCACTTCCAGAAAATTTTTTCCGGTTTGTGCATTCAATCCGAGTGTTAAATTTATCAAACAATCGATTGTGTGATTTGCCAACGCCTGAAGAACTTCTCCTGTTGGAAAAACTCTTTTTGACCGCGAATTGTCTTATAGACAAATCCTTGGAAAAAATTTCGCCATATTTACGCAACATTCGAATTCTGCACGCAGCCTACAACAGTTTTACGTCTTTACCGGAAGATTGCTCTACTTATTGGACTGAAATTGAGGAGTTGGTGTTTTCCGGAAACAAACTGTTAAAACTTCCGGAACGTATAGGGTGTCTCAAACATTTGAGCGTCCTTAGAGTCCACTCAAACCTCTTACAAAGTATCCCAAAATTGTCAAACTTGTTATGTTTGAGAGTTTTGGATTTGGCCCACAATCAGCTAGACAGAATTGATTTAACAGCTTTAATACCTCCAAATTTAAAATTTTTGGACTTGTCGTGTAACACCAAGCTGCATGTGGATTCGCAACAGTTTAATACTTATAGGACGCAAAGACCAATGAGTCTTGTTGACGTTTCCGGAAAAAATCGGACCACACTTCCATTGACACCATCACCATTTTGTGAAAACGATCTCACTGAGTATAGCTGGAGTGTTGGGTTTTCCGAGACAGCAGGTTGCAAACAAAGACTTTATATTTCCCAAATCCGATTACCGGCTTTTTGTAACACTGAAGGTCTTTTTGGTATGTTTGATGGAGAAACAAACAACAATATCCCTGTAGGTGTTGATAAAGTAAGTTTCATAATATCAGCAATTTTGCACTATTTATTATAACCATTTAACATTTTAGGTAGTTCCAAGAATTCTCTTAGAGGAACGTACCGTTAAAGAAACAGCTTCCGACTATATGAAGTATACAATGCTTTCAGCTCACCGAGAATTAAAAGATAAAGGCCAGAAACAAGGCCTTAATGCCATCATTTGCCACATCCTTCGTACTAAACAATCTGTAGAATACTCGTTTTGCGCTAGTACTAAAAAGTACCTTATGAAAATTGCAAGTGTTGGTGACATTCGAGTGGTTCTCGGCCGAGCTACAGGCCCAGTCCGACTCCTCCCCGTAAAACAAAGAAAACAAATTCGAACCAATCCACAAATTCAACTGATGGTACCTGACCCAGATGTAACCGAAATTTTCCTCGACGAACAAGACGAATTTATGATAATGGCAAACAAAAACTTATGGGACGTAATGACCCCTGAGAATGCTATTCGTGAAGTGGCCCTCCAACGAAACGTAATTTTGGCGGCTAAACGACTGCAAGATTTAGCTCAAAGTTACGGAGCCGAAGAAAATCTAAGTATAATTGTGGTTAAATTTAACCTCATGGGTACTGACGTTGATTTATTAATGAGAGAATTAAGGCAAACCATTAGACGGAACAAGTACCAAAGTGATAGTACAAACTCCTGCCAACCTGGCTGCTGCTGCGAAGCCCTCAGTAATGAGTGTGTTAACTGTGAGAAAATTCCAATTCCGCCGCCTTTGATCCTGAATGATGACAGGTCATCCCCGAGTGGGCAAAGTGAGCAAGCATGTAGCGATTGCAACTCCTCGGCGAAATTATTTGTAAACCAATTAAATCGCTCTGCTCGAAGTATCACTCCTTCTATTTTTGAAGCAGCGGAAGTTAAAGCAAGTCCAGAAAGACGAAGTTACCGGGGCGTTGCCAAAGCATTGAGAGCTCGGCGTGAAGAAGAAAAAAATCAGAACGATTCTGATTCGGCCCTTTCTGAGGAACAATTTAAATGTTGGGAATACATGCTAGAACAAAACACACAACTACTTTTCGACAAGGAGTTGAATACCCTAACAAGAAGTATCCGGAAACCCCAATTTTCCATCAAAAACCCAACTTTATCGCGAAGTAACCCGCATTTATCAGATAATAATAACAATGGAACGTTTTTGTCGAGACAGTTTGGCAGTACAAGATCTTTTAACCCTTTGTTAACTCGGTCGGGTTCAAAGTTTGCCCTTGACAAGAAGTTATTGGGAGGGCCTCATGCTGCATATTTTGGGAGTTTGCAAAGGTTAATGCCGTATAACCTGGAGTATGATTTTGCAGTGATGCACGAGAGGGGATTAGCGGATTCGTTAGATTTGGATCGAATGCAGCAGTACTGGGGAGTTACCACAACAGAATTGTAAATTTTAAACGATATTGTATAATTAAAATTTAATAATAATAGTTAGTTTTAATTAGTTTAAGTTCAATCAGAACATAACATTTAATCACAATTCTTCAGAGTATAAGTTATGTACTAATACCCCCTTCAGTATGTTTAATACAGTTTCCTTAAAAGTAGATAGCTTCTGTGTTCGAGTCGAGCGCCTCCAGCTCGGCGCCAAACCTCCCTGTTTTGATGTGACGTCCCGGGGTCGCGCCGCCGTCGCCGCCGCCAGTAACGTGACGTAAGAGCGCCGGGACGTCAGTATTAGTGCAGCGGCAGTATCTATGAGTGCAGCAGCGTCGTCTCCGACTTGCTGGTCTTAGGTAACTTACCATGTATGACCACATAAACG